TCAGCATAGAAACAGCAGATAGAAGAACAACCATGTTATCTATCCTGTATATACATACATACAAAATTTCTCCTTCTTTCCCTTCTCTTTTCCCACATGCATGTGTAATTGTTGAGTACATTTTTTTATTTTAGAATTTTTTTGAGACAGAGTCCTGCTGTGCAGCCCAAATTGGTCTTGAACTCGTGGGCAGTGCTGCTGCCTCAGCGTCCTGAGCACTGGGATTACCTAGGGTTCGTTTTGTTTTAATTGTGGTCTAGTGCAGAATCCAGAGCCTTAGCATTAAACTATATCCCCAGATGTTTTTTATTTTTTATTTTAAGACAGTGTCAATAAGTCACTAAATTGCCCACATCTGGCTTGAACTTGTAATCCTCCCACCTCAGTCTCCCAGAGTGCTGAGTTTCCACGCCTATCTGAAATCCTAAATTTTTGATCACAGAATGCAATAGGGTATTCTGTATTGGATCCTGTCAGACCTTTACCGTGGGACTGGATTTCCCGGTTCATGCAAGGACTTTCATTGCCCAAGGCTGGGGAGGTGGATCCCACCTAGGGTTATCACAGCTCTGCTGTGCACACTGACTTGAAAATAAAAGAATTTTCTGCTCTCCTTTGTTTCATAAGCAGTTATAAGTAGTTTTCACTAAACCGAAGTTTTAGATTCCTTAACTGCCTGGTTACAGATATAAATGAGTATTTGGTGATTCTCCTCCTCTTCTGAGACAGTCTTGCTATGTAGCCCAGGCCTCAAACCTGCCATGATCTTTCTGCCACCGTCTGAGTGCTGGGATCCAGGTGTGCGCCAGCATGCCCAGCTCATTTGGTGACTCTTCTATGCCCACTTCTCCAGCTGGAAAGTGGAAGGAACCTGCTGCTTAGCGACGTCTTGTAAAACCGTTACTGTGAGGTATTTTCCCAAGGCAGATGGCCTGTGACAGGCAAGGCTCGGAACGGAGCTCTAGGTTCACTAATTCAGAACAGCAAACCCACCGTTCAAGGTTAGTTGAAGACACTGACGACCGAGATCACGGTCTGGACCCTCCCCACCCTGGGTGCTCAACACAGGGTTTGCTGAGTGCCTTTGGTCCTTAGTCCTCTCTGGGCCAGGCAAGGTGGACTGGGAGACGCTGAGCTGCAGCAGTGTCCAGGGAAGCCGAGAGGTCGGGAGGGGCACCCCGTCTGGATGAGGGTGACTGCACCAGCCCAGGCTGGGACAGCGGGACCATTGGGCTCTCTGTCCTCCTCTGCACCCTATTTCCAAGCACGGTGCCCGCGGCCCATACCTAAACATCACAGAGCTGCCGACCTCCCCAAGTGCTAAGTGCTAAGTGCTCTCTTCCCGGCCCTTTGTTGTTCAAGGCCTGCCTTCGCTGCTGGAGCCTGTGTTTATTAAAGGGCCAGCCAGGAAAAGGCAGCCTAGGGGAGCTGACGGCTCTGCTTCCCCTGGGGCTCTGTGGGGCTTCAGCCCTTTGATCCCGGCTTCCTTTGATTTTCTCTCTGGATCTCCAGGCCTCTTCAGTTTCTGAAGCTGATTTCAGAGCCAGTAGTTAGAGGAGACAGGAAGAGAACTCCCCCAGAAGGTCCCCGAGCCTGGGAGGGAGGCCCCAGGTGTGCTGCAGGCTGTGCCATAGGATCCAGGTAGCAGACAGAAAGTCAGTGCTGAACCCAGGGTAGTGAGTTTTTGTTTGTTTTGGTAGTGAGTTTTTAAAGAGTGATTCTCTTTTTTCCTTCTGGTTATTTGTACCCAATAACTGAGCAAGGGAGCCCACTGGGCACCTTTGATGACCTAACAAGGAGCTGAAAGAGTGCTTCCTCCTCCAGCAGGAAGCCAGGCCTTCCCAGACTTGCTGGAGATGAGACCTGAAGCAGCCGGGGACCTGACTCCCGGCTTCACCTGCGCCAGTCCTTCCTGCCAGGCCTGCTGAGCGCTTGAAATGGAGCCTGAATTTCACTCCTTTTGAGGTGCAGGGGATTACAGTTGAGGCCTCACACACACTTGCTAGGTAAGCGCTCCACTTGAGCTCCACCCTGAGCCTGTTACCTGGATCTCATTTCATCTCATTTTAATTGATTTAAATTCAAATCACAACATGTGGCTGGTGGTGCCCATGTTTACCGGTATAGCTGTGCATGCCATCATCTGGCGAATCACTGATCTTTGAAATTTTTTTGTGTATAAATGCAGAGATATCTAGTTGGTGCAATTTGATTTTTGATACCGATTTGATTTTTTTTCGAGACAGTGTCTTGCTGTGTAGTTCAGTCTGATTTTGAACTCACTATGTAGCCCAGGCTGGCCTCGAACTTGCAGGGATCCTCCTGCCACAGCCTCCCAAGTGTTGGGATTACAGGTGTGCACAGTGGCACCCACCACCACACCAGTTCAGCTGTACTGAGAGTTGAACCCAGGACCTCACGCGTGAGACAAGTGTTCTACCAGTATGCTACACCCCAGCTCTTTTTTTTTTTTTTTGGTCTCTTTGAGATAGGGTCTCCCTATGCAGTTCAGGCTGGCCTGGAGCTTACTTTGTAGCCCAAGCTGGTCTTGAACTCACAATGATCCTCCTGCCTTCCGAGTGCTGGGATTACAGGCATGCGCTACCATGCCCAGCCTACACCCCAACTCTGCATTTGAATTTTAGACTCCCATTTTTATTGTTTAAACAGAACTCTAGATCGTCACAATGGTTACTTAGTTTTAATACCATATAGTCCATACAGAGTTGGCTGTGTGTGATATCAGTGTTCATAAATAGCTTTTCTTCCAAAGTGGCAATTTTTGGTCACTTACTGGTTAAAGGTTTATAATACTATAAGTTTCTCTCTTTTTTTGCACAATGATAACCGCAGCACTCTGGGAAGCTGAGGCAGGAAGATTGAAAATTTGAGCCCAGCCTGGATAAGTTATAATGACTTAGTGAGACCTTATCTCAAAATAAAAAGTAAAAAAGGGCTGGGAATGTAGCTCAGTCCAAAGGCCCTAGGTTTAATTCCCAGTACCACCCTGAGCTTTTGTAGATCCTCAGCCCCTGGAGAAATGCCATGCTCAGACCTCAGCCCAGGGCCTCGAGCATGTACATAGGTGCTTTCCCCCAACTGAGCTCTCTCCCCAACCCCCAAAGCGTTTTTCTCTTCTCTTCTCTTCTCTTCTCTTCTCTTCTCTTCTCTTCTCTTCTCTTCTCTTCTCTTCTCTTCTCTTCTCTTCTCCTCTCTTCTTTCTCTTCCCTTCTCTTCCCTTCCGTTCTCTTCCCTTCCCTTCCCTTCCCTTCCCTTCCCTTTCCTTTCTTTTCCTTTCCTTTGCTTCCTTTCTTCCTCGCTCCCTTCCTTTCTCCCCCCCCTCCCTCCCTCCCTCTTTCTTTTTTTTTGTATATAGTGCTGGGGATGCAGCCCAGGGCTTCCATATGCTAAGCAAGTGTACTACCTACCCTGAGGTGCACTCCAGCCCTTAATCCCTTTTTGTGTGGACTTGGAAGTGTGCTTAAATTGATGGTTCCACTTCCTCAGGAACTTGAGCATTCAGCTTTCATAGTAACTTGAACTTCCTGTACTTGTTCAGATGGAGAAAGAAATAATATTGACCTCTTTTTTTCTCTAATGGAACTCATGTGCTGTGCTCTCCAAAGCCGGAGCAGGTGGCTGCCCTGCAGGGTCTGGCAGGGGAAGCATGGTCATCCTGCCCAACAGACTTAGATTACCACTCTGTACAGCCAGGCAGGCTTTCACTGGAGTTTATTATTTGTACAAATAATGTTGCAGAGAGCCCTGTTTTTAACTTGGTTGTTTATTCTGAGATTACTTAAACTTGTTCATAGAGACTTGTCTCTCCACACCACTTCCCACTA